AGGTGACCAGACTGTCCAAAGCCTTCAGGTAGCAAACATACGAGTAGGATTCTTCATTGAGACACTGTCTCCGCACAGCTACGGCAATAATTTGACAAAACCAAGGAAATAATAGTAATAGTAGTAATAATCGCATTATTTCTCAGCAACCTATCCCCTCTATATTTACTGATATTCTATATTTTACTGAGAACGGTTTTTACAAAGACTTTAAATCACAGCCTGCCTTTAAGTTAAAGCAGATCTATACATAAAACGAAAGATTTTTATACCTATAAAATGACATTAATGTTATCTATATCCTTCTTCTAAGTATAATGTGAAAATTTACTAGACAATGTCACAGATCACTTCAAATGTCTTTGAATAGGGAGCCTAATAAATTAAAGGGAGAAAACTGTAAAATCTGTATTATATTCTTGGCTAGGCCAGACCTTCTAAAAAATAATTTGTCAGCAAAACCCTTAAAATTACGTATTCAAAGTAGTTCTCCTAAATTTACCAGTGAATGAAAGCTCTGAATGCATAAATGTTAAATATACAACGAGGATCAATCTGATACTCACATCTTGATGCCAAGTTTGCAACCAGTATGAAAGCTTAGCCTCGGTTCTTTCAATATTGTAAACTACAATCAAATTCTAGCACACAACTTTTCCTACAACATAAAAAAAACATTCTCCACCCTAGAATTTTTTTTCCCTAAGGCAGCTTATTTTAAAACAAGAAGAACTTGATTCGCTCCCCCCAACATTTCAAGGGCAGTATTTGCAATAAAAGGATGAAGGTGTCAGGAGAGGAGAATAATTTATGTTCAGCTTCACTCTAGTACCAAGAAATCAAATATTTGGGGTTAATCCAAAGGAGATGTCATGCAGTCAGCAATTATAAAGAGAAACAAGCCAAAGAGGGATGTAAAACAAGGCAGGAGAAAGGAAAGAAAGGGGGGCTCATGAGGGACACACCACAGGCACTGAAGAAGTGGAGAAGAGGGATGACATTCTGCAGAATAAAGAAGCAGGTCCTTCTCCTTTTAAAGCCAAGAGAGCTACAGTGTTAGTGGAAGTTTCAGCCACAGTCTCTAACAGACTAACTTCTATTTCTCAGTTTCCTTTCTTCTATGAGAGAAGTCACACACACACACACACACACACACACACACACACACACACACACACACCTCACTTTATCTTTGGATAGTGCCAGGAAGAGCAAAACTGGCAGTCACATTGTTTACTACTGTAAATTCATTTATAAGTGAATTTTCCTATCAAACTTATCATCATGGGGATTCACTGTAAATGGGTCCTTATGCACAAAGATGATAATACTTTTAAATGGCAAGGAACTGCAGTTAGTTTCCATTCTCTTCTTATAGATGACCACCTATCATGCGCAAGATACAAGCTGTCATAAAGCCTATTATTACATAAACACCAAAACATGTTATAGGCTGTGTAAAACAAATAATAATAGACACTGAAAATTCTATGCTTTAAACATGTATAGCGCCTACTTGAACTAAAACACTGGTATAAAAAGTTCAAAGGAATTGGTGCAGAGAAGGGCATGCAAAGGTTAAAATTAAAGAAGCATCAAATTGTCACTGTTTTTCCACTTCACTAAAAAAAATAGATAATGACAGATAAATAGATAGATGATAGATAGATAGATGATAGATCAGCGAGTGCTGTAGACTTAAAATATTTCTAGTGATGTATAACATTCTATTTTAAAGAAAGAGAGTACTTACTATGTGCCAGGTATTATGCTAAGTGTTTTATGTATGTCAACTTGATGATTCTCATAATAGCTCTACGAAAAGGACTCTACTATTGTTTCCATTTTACAGATAAGAAAACTTGAGTCAAAGAGAAAATAAACACCTTGTTCAGTGTAACACAGCTACTAAGCAGCATAGCTGAAACTTCAACTCCACCATTCTGACACCAGGAGCCAACTCATAACTATAATTCATGGTTATATATGTAGATCCACTAAAAATATGAATTCCATCCACCAGAGAAAAATGGGAGGACGTAGGATCCAAGCTACCAGGGGACTTTAGAGTTTGCAAAGCACTGGAGGATACTGCTGCAGTATCCTACCCCTAGTTTCCCTGCCTCTAGAGCAAAGCAGCTAGGTCGACATCATTATGCTTGATACTCTCTAATGAAGGAGTTTAGAAATTTAAACCTTCATGCTTTAAATATAGCTTTTCTGTGGCTGTATGAACATGAAGGGGTTCATGAAAACCAAGTCCAGAAGTGAAAATTGTGGAAAGCAACTATAATTTTGATCCTAGTTCAGAAGCTCAATCTTTATATGTTATATGTAGTTTTAGTTCTTAGATTATAATAGGCAAATTGATTAATGAATATGAGCCCTTCCCATGCCACTCTGTGCTGAAAGATGACCTTCACAGTTTCATTTCCTGTGGATATGAGAGTGTGTTACTTGCTCAAGTTCATGGCTTGTAGGGGCCTTAAAGGTCATCTTTCTTTGTGACTACAGCAAAAACTTGGAAGCAGAAAGGTCAGCCCCCATATCTTGCCATTTTCTTTTTGACAGCTGGAGACAAAGCAAGAATCAAAAAGAAATCACAGTTTGTGACCAAAGACAGAGAAACCAGACCACTGATAAAACTATATTTATATTCACTCTCACACAGGCAGCAAGAAATAAATACCCAGGGTTAATCAAAAAAAAAAGAAAAAAAAAAAAAAAAAGAAGAAGAAGTTTGTTGTATTTTAAGGCAATAAAAAATTTGGAGGAGGATTTTGTTTTTAAAGAAAAAACAATACATATTGTCAAGATAAGATCTATGACTGCCCCTTTACCCAAAAGAGGTTAAGGAAGGATTTCAAGTTGTGTTGTAAAACTGGTTGTGTCTTCCACATGAGTCACATCTAGAGACCCGTTTTTGTCATTTCAGTGCAAAACAAAGTGAAGAGTCTAAAATCAAACATTTGAGAGTTCAAATAAAACAAAAAGATTATAATTTCTTAACATATTTTATGGGGAAAGAATCCACAGAAAGCACTTTATAATAATTTAATAAAAAGAATTAATGATGGTGTAGCAGATTTCAAGTGAAAGCAATTAAGTCTGGGGAGTCAGACAGGCTGAGTTCAAATGCAAGCTCTTTATCTTATGAGCCATATTTCTTAGGCAAGTTACCTAAATCTCTAATAGTAAATTTCCCCATCTATATAATGGGCATAATAACTCTTTCTTTATAAGGCTGTTGTAACAGCGTATGTAAAATCCTTGACACTCCTTCCTTCCCTCTCTCCTCTCCTTCCACTTTAATGAACTTTCTGAAACCAGAAATGTCCTGTGCAAAAACATTTTCTTCCATTCAGATAAATTTCTGAACAAAGTTTGCAAAACCCCAATACAACACTGTCTACCACAGTGACACTATAAAATATCCATTCCATCTTAGCAGCAACACAAATTTCACATCACATAATGTTACAAAAATTATATCTCATTCGTGACATACTTGCTGTAGCATTTTTTGAAGTATAATTCATGGAAAACATTTCTGAATTTTCCTTTGCGTGGTCTGACACCCTCTCAATTCACTGAAGCTACAACTTACCATTTGAAAGAAAATTAACATGTGTGACCTGAATTTTCATTTTTTCATACCATAGGAAAGTGGAAATTAAATTCAAATCCTATAAACACTTAGGTGCAAAAGAGACAAGAACTCATATGCAAACAGCTAGGTTTTTTTTAGAGGTGTATGTCTGGTAAGTGGATAATTTATACCTAGAATCTAAATTTGTAAGTCTGGTTTTCAAATCAAGTAGATAAATTAAAACTACTACTTATATCAAATACATCAGCTCTTTTATAGAACAAAATGGAGTGTAAATTTTCAAAAAAGAATGTTGCACATTGATACCCAAGGACCACAGAAGACATTCCATACTCTTCACACATGGGGCACCAATTTCTTCCTATCAGGCACTCACATCCTAAAGAAATCACCTGGTGACATGTTATCATTTGGCTTTCAACTATGTCTATTTTGTGAGTTAATGGTAAAGGAATAATGCTTGCACTTCCATAAACTTTACCAAAGCCTTTGGGTTTTTACAGAAAGTTTTAGGAGCAATCTCATCAAAAACAACACTACTTTGTAGAAATCTCTATACAAGCAGAAATTTGTCACTCAAAGATCTTATCTTGGCTGGAAGAAATGACAGCAAATTATGTCTTATTACACCATTTATATATTGTGCATGTGAACAGACATAGTGTAATTGTAATAGATATGTATGCATATATATGCCATCTGCATATGCATAACATTTTATAATCATAATTCCATTTTTGTTTTGTATTATGCCATCATCTTTGCTGTGCAGTTCAGTACCATATTATTTTCATTTCAACCACAGCTGCATCATTGCTGCTGCCAGATCTCTCTGATTTTTTGGAGAAAATATACAATTTAAAATTGTTTTTTTTTTCTTTTTTTTTATCAGAAAGGAAAGTCATCAAGAATTAGATTTTATTTTAGGAACAAAGTAAGGTTTCATGGGAGAAAAAAACAAAGCCTTGGTGTAGAGAAGGTTTGTTCATTTTCTATAGCATTACTGAAGTGTCCGTATGCCTTGATAATCCTATCAATGTTTGGATCATCTCACTGGGGGAAATGACTTAATTTAACTCTATTTTGGTGTCTCCGCAAAGGTAAGTTGTCTATTTTGAGAGCCTACCTGGGTAGTTTTATGCTACTTCATTTGTGAATAAAACCCCAAAGTTTGCCCAGCTCACTTGTCGAATCAGTTTCCACAAGTAGAAAAGGTGGGGGTGGGGGGCAGTGGGTGGAGGAGGTGGTGTGGGAACCGGCTGGGGATTTACCTGTGGCACAGTTGTCTTAGACCAATATCTCATAATCATAAAAACCTAGGCAAGAGACAGATCAACGAACCACGGAGATAGTGGGTTAAACTGATGCTCTATTATTTCATGTTCTCTAGTGTCTCTCTTTCAATGCCATCATGGAAGAACTGGGAATCTCACTCAAAAATCAGAAAAAGCTAAAGAAAAAGTCAAGAACTAAGGGGAAATCTTCCTTCACAAGTATCCTCACTTGTCATCAAAGACGAACTCAGAGAAAAGAGAGTGTGGCTTGAGCCAGGAAAACACCTGTAGGAAGCTTTCAGGAAGAAAAACACATGCTCGCTACAGGTTTTTGGAGAAAGGATTTCTGACACCTGTGCTATGTGTTTCCATATATCTATATACATAACTCGATTATGCATACAGATATAAGAAATACAAAAGTTTCAAAAGCTCACATAGACCGAGATTACTTGGGAAGCAGCACGGATTCTTTTGAAATTAATTTGTATGTTCACTTATTTCACCTTTTCTCTTTCATCCCAATAAATTGCTGTGTGTTCTTTCTAAATAATAATAAAACAACAGGGTTTTTTTTCCAGAATAATTTTGAGTGTTGGTTTGTTCCCCATTATTTGCTCTTATTCACAATGTTTGGTTTCCAAGTGTCATCAGCTGTCTACTTTGCTATTTTGATGAATCCTCTTACATTTTCAGCCTGATAGAACAATTTCTGACTGAGTTCAAAAAATTCTTTTAGTTTATACCAAATACCTAGTGATTATAGTAAAATGAAACCATTCATTTTTGTGTTTTAAAATCTAATTTTATAAATAGTTTAATTGGTACTTGGAACATCTGTGAATATAAAAGGATACTAAAGAGGGAAAATTCATTCAAAAAAATAAAAGTGTCCACCACATTTGAGGCACCATTCTAGGTTCTGGGGATACCACAGTAAGGAAGAGGGATGTGGTCCCTGCCCTCGCATATATTATAATAAAATGAAAAAAAAAATTCTATTACCCAAAGGAGGATTAAACACTTCCTCAATGGAGGTCAGAAGCTGCGGGAACATGCAGTAGTATTGAACCAGGGATGGGACAAGGAAGTCTTCCTGGAGGAAGGTACAGCTAAGATCTGAAGGAGAGTGAGTTAATCTAGTGAAGAGAGAGACATCAGATGGAGAAGGCAAGCATTCCAGTTGAGGAAGTAGTTATTCTAAGGCACTGCAATAAGAGAGAAATAGGGCCAGAATGACGGAGGAAAAAGGAGTTTGGTAGCTAAAATGCATGGAGGTACAATGGGGCTAAGCAGTAACAACCACTCTGGCTGAGAATAAAGAACTGAGAGAAAGAAGACTGAGAGGAGGAGAAGAGAGAGGTTCCCTTGCTCAGTAACCCAGAGGAAGGATATTATAGCCTGGGCCAGTGGAGTACCAGAGAGACTGTTACATGACAGAGGTAACTTAGAGGCACAAGTCACACAGCCAGAGATTCAGAAAGTGGTCATGAGGGAAAGAAGAGGGGGTTCAAGGAAAACACCAGGATTTGGGTGTGGAGGAGTGGGTGTGGAGGAAGGGATGCTTAACTGGGGAGCTGAGGTATTGGGAAAAAACAATGGAAAAGGAGCAGGCATTGGATCAATATTTCATATAATTAAATCCCATTGGTTTCTGTAGGATTATTTTACAACTAAAAGAAACTTTTAATCTAGTCTCTCTAGAATTTAAGTACAAAAATAGTTCCAGACCTAAAAAGGAAAAAAAAAAAAAGACCTTTAAAATAGCAATAACAGATACTGGACAGATATTTTTCAGTGATTGTAATCAACACTCAGATTTCAGATCAATTCGAGTTTTATTAACAACAAATAGAAGACAATGTAGCTCATAAAACTGCATTAAGATGCTTATATTTAAAAATTACAAATAGAAATATGATGAATCCAACTAGCTGAAAATGAACTAGAATGATATGAAAATATGACAGGGCAAATATGCAGTTTATTTAGTTCATTAAAAATTATACCAAAGGAATTCTATTTTACATTTTCTAATTTAATAGTACAATATTTTCTCTCATTTCAGAAAATATTACAGTGCTGTATCGTTTCACATACAGTTATAGTAGTTTGTGGGAAAAAAAGTATATCAACTTCTAATATGTAAAGTGTGTGTGTCAATCTGGCTTCTAGGTATTTTAAAGCCCGTTAACCATATTCCTCTTCACTTATCAGTAACTGAATTTTTATTCAAGGCATAATATATTGAACTAGGCAAAACTGCAGAACAGGGCTTTTTTATATTAACTACTAAATGTAATATATAATCACCTTCCTTTCCCCCCAATATTTTTATTCTGAAAACTCATTTGATGTGTACACATGGGCATATGTTGTGTGTGTCTGTGTGTGGTGGGGTGAAGAACAGAGTAAGCTAATGAGTTCAGAGGAGAGAATAAGAAGAAACTACAGAATATCTGGAACCTGGTCCAGAAAAATTCCCTGAGATCAACTATTAATCTTTGAGATTTTCATCCCTTCCTCTGAAGAACAGTGACTCATACACAGTTATGTAGAAATCAATGGCAAAGTTAATTAAAAACTGGATCTAACATTTCTTCCTTCAGCAATTTCTTGATGTTAATAGGAAAAGATGGCTCAGGTGAAGTATTCAAGAAAAGAAAGGGAAGTCAGTGTTGATTGAAATACGATGTTCACAGTTAAGATTTATTTTCCTTTCAAGTTTCAAATCTGAGCCTTTCTTGCCTTCAGTGTAGAGAAAATGGAAGAGAAACTATTAACTACTTGCATTGGCCCCATAGGGTTGCTGATACATATGGGGCTCAGAGTTTTCCATTCTTAGTCTAGAAGATGCTGGAGAGAGACAGAAATAAGAAGGAAGTAGGTTAAAGAAAACTAGGTGAAGATAAACTATATTTGACCAGCATTCTTTTCTCTATCTCAGCAGTTACTGCTTTAGTTTAACTCTTTGCCTGACCTAAAAGGACTAAATAGTTTCTTAATTAGGAAGCTCCTGCGATTGTTGTTTTAAAGGAGGAATACAATTAAGAGTGTCTATTCTGAGAAAGGTATCCCTAAGAGCTATATATGCAGTGTGATTTTTACAGAAACATGAAGTCTATCAGTTCCAAAATGTAAAGCCCACCAGAGTCTCTCGAACATCAGAGGATCCAATGCATCAAGTAACAAACTGGCTCAAATTATAGTCTACTTGCTCAAGTCATTTATTATTTGGATCCTTCAGCTTACAGCAAGGAGAGGACAGGCATTCACTGATGAAGGAGAGGACAGGCATTCACTGTCAGAAGTGCACAGGGTTAGGGCGAGTAAGCCATTCCACCTAAGGTAATGGAGTGCTTAGAGAAGGTGCCTACTGGGGTGGGGAAGAGGTGATAAAAGGTGAGGCTGGGACTTCAAAGGCACCCTCAGTTCTCAGGTTTGTTCAGGTCTAGTCCTGTACATGGAGGGAAACTTTTTTCCAGTCATATTTTTTAAAATAATGACCATGTAGAAGGAAGAAGCAGGACAAAATAGGAACAGTAAATCCTCCAGAGTGGAGACATATATACTACATTTACAAGTAGTAACTCAAAGTCCCATAAGCCTTGGGAGTGAAATGACCATCTTGACGTGCTGATGTTTAGAAATCCAGAAACAGGCTGGCTTTGCAGGTGAGTGTCCTCATAGTAAGTCACAGGCTCACCAGAGAGACTTGCTTTTAAGCTTTGTCCATAAGATACCCAATTAAAGAAGTTACTCCATTTTTACACAGCTTAGTAGGTTAAATGAGACTCCAAAATGGATTCGTGGACATGTATTGTCTGGTTTGTTTGTTTATTTACATTCATATCCTTCTTCCTTCCTTTCACCCCTCATTTCCTATCCCTTTTTCTTCATTAATAGAGTGCCTAGACATCCTAGTTTGCCCTGAATGATTCTGCATTAAGCCTGAAATTGTGAAGTCCTGTAGTTTAGGCTCCCCCCGCCCTTCACATGTGTATCTTAATTTGGACAATAAGTCCTAGGACATTTTGCCCATTGGTCTCAAGCTTCCTCTTCTTGACAGCCACACAGTTTCACTAACAAAACTGAAACCTCTACTGATGTTAAAAAGGAGCCTCATCCAAAGGAGCCAACAGAAGGCAAGGGACCACTACCCTCCATCAAAGTAATCCAGGATGACCTGGAGGGAGTCAGATTGACTTTGACATTTCATTTGGATATTATGAGAAAAATTTTACACATATAGATATATGGCAATATAGATATAGATAGATGGTGATAGATGATAGATACATAGATACATAGATAGATGATAGATAGATAGATAGATAGATAGATAGATAGATAGATAGATTAGATAGATAGATAGATAGATAAAGATAGATAGATAGATCCCATTGTTTTAGTCTGACCTGGGCTATGCTCTCAGTAAATGTCAAGGTCATGTCATCAGATGTTAATGATTGTTATAGGCAGCTATTATTTAACAAGGATGAGCTAAATCCAGGTACATTGTATGTACTTCACAATATTTGCTCATGTAATAGTCATAGTAAACCCTAAAGGAAATATTTTTTACCAAGTTAAAAACAGAAATTCAGAGAGGTTAAATATCTTGCCCAAAGTCACTTAACCATGAAGTGGCAAACGGTGCAGCATAACCCTGCTCCATCATCGCAACAACAGTGGTTCTTTCCTAACTTTTGGAGGCTAAGTACCATTGACTAAATTCAGGCTTTGTCCCAAGCATACATGATCTCATAGCATCCTCTCAACAGCCTTACAAAGTTAGTACTTTCCCATCACAAAAAAAGGAAACTGTAAGAAAAAATGTTAAGTAGCTCCCCAAACTCAGACTGCCTGCTGTTTAAAGAACTAAGATTCTAACTTCAATCTCTCAGAGTCCAGAGGCTCTTAGCCACGGCACTATACAATCTTGTCTTTTTGTTTTAATGCAAACCTTGACTGAATTTTTAAAGAACTATCCATGGAGCAATTTTTAAAGAACCATCATTTAATAGAGCAGATAAAGAATTTCCTCTACTTATCGATGTTTGCTATTGTTGTTTCCTAGAAGCAATATTTAAGCATTCTAACCCTTAATACAAGACAAAATGAACTCTCCACCGAATCTGTGAATTAGTTGTATTACAGATTTAAAATTACTCTTTGAACACTTCTCATTCATAAGGCAAGTCATTCAAATCATAGTAAAAACATGTGAATGGCATGATATGATAATTACTGTATCTCAAGGCTCATCATGTTTCCAGTAATCTCAAAGGACACCATTAGATTGTAAATTCCCAGCTGATTGTAAACTTCTAGAATAAATGAGCATATTTCTTTGAAATATCAATCACTCTATAGAGGATTTTTAGCCTCTTGCATATAGCAAGTAATAAACAAAGTCTTCCTGAAAAATGAATGACAATCTTTGGAGCAAGTTTTGAGGAAGATATAGTCCTTGCCTTTGAGAATATTGGAATTGAATAGGTCAAATTTCAGAGGTGAAATTTTGTTGGGACACTTGATTTTTAAAGACTATGATTGCAAATGCCATTGAGTTT